TACGGGGAAAAGGGGCTTGTGTCCTCTTCAACAGCGACATACAGAGTGCGACGAACTTTCGTCCTACCGCAGTACATGCATACCTACCTACCTACCTACCTACCTACCTACCTACCTACCTACATACATGCATACGTACGACATGCCCCCCCAAACCTTGTGCTAATTATACTGCCCCCTATAAAAATGCGATAAACCCATGGTAAATCTCCCAAGAAGGCGTATCAATCCCATATGAAGCCCTAAACCCTAGACCCTTAAACCCTTAAAACCCTTATACCTCTCTTTCATGTATAGTATAAATGTTAATGGCCTTAGCGGGCAAGGTCATAAATTAGCGGGCAAGGTCATAAAGTTAACGGGCAAGGTCATAAAGTTAACGGGCAAGGTCATAAACTTAGTGGACAAGGTCGGCCCTAAACCCTATACATAGGGTTTAGCGGTTAGAGTTTAGGGTTCGAATGTTGTGGGATTCTATGGGCGGGTGGGTTGATTTCTGAAAGAATCTTAACTAGAAATATCGAAGTCAGAACTGCTGAACCCTAAACCCTAAACCCTAAACCCTAAAGCCCTGGCTTTGAATGCGAGGCCGGCGACGTGTCGCTATCACCGGAGCGGCCGGCTTCCTGGGCCAGCTTGCCCGCCAGAGCTGCGAGGAGGGGGTGGGAGGGTTCAGGGGTTTAGGGAGGGTTCAGGGGTTTAGGGAGGGTTCAGGGGTTTAGGGAGGGTTCAGGGGTTTAGGGAGGGTTTAGGGTTTAATTGGGGTTTAGGGAGGGTTTAGGGTTTGATTAGGGTTTAGGGTTTAGGGAGGGTTTAGGGGTTTAGGGTTTAGGGGTTTAGGGTTTAGGAGTTCAGGGTTTAGGGTTTAGGGAGGGTTTAGGATTTTTAAGGGGCTTATGCAAGCAGTCACTGCGGGCGATCCGGGCGAGATGCACGCAAGGATCCCAGGTTTAGGGGTTAGGGGTTTAGGGCTAGGTTGCTGGTTATTACATGGGGAGGATTCAGGGTCTAGAGTTCCGATAATGCTCTATAGTGTTTAGGGTTAGGGTTCCTTTCAGTGAGGGGTTCAACAAGGAACGGTTTAGGGTTTAGGGTTTAGGGTTATCTATAAGCGTTCGAAGAGTTCTTCCCACGAGGCTTTCGTAAAGCGTTTCTGCGCTGCTATGGGAGCTGTATAAGAGTCTCAACAACAAGGTTTATGAGGGTTCCATCCATGGGAGTTTGAGCTACTTATAACGGCTATAACCCATAGCTTCGAAGTAAGTTGTCGTGGTCAAGGCCTTTTTGTCTACATGGTTTTGGGTTTTCGGAGGGGCTTTGAAGCACGTCCTGGAACCGAAGGGTGCCGGCGTCATTATTGTTAGTGTTGTCGTTACTCTATACTTATCATTATGCTACAATCACTATCATTCACATCGTGATTGTTACAGTTGGGCTTACGAATATTCATAAGCCGTGTCCCCAGTCTTCGGGCTTGCAGGGCTAGCCACGCCGGGCATGGCAAGGCTGAGATGTGCTAGGCAAGACCACCAGTTGGAGGTTCCATGGGTAGTTATAAGTGGGGCTATAAGTCACATAACATGGGTTATAACTATGGTTACCCTACTTATAACCCCATTTATAACTACCCATGAACCTCCAAGCAGGCAAGACCACCAGGCATAGTGCAAGCCGGCATGAACAAAGGCAGTGAACTACACGTTGCACGGAGCTTTGCTTGCGCCGGAATTGATTCCACGCCTGAAGGCTACCTCCACAAGCGTGTTCGACTGGATGCACAGCCGTGTGGTCGCTGGGATGGTCAACAAATCCCCAAACACCAACAACTCCTTCTAAAGCCGAGCTCTACCCCTTAGCCCTACACCCTAAAATCTCTACAGAACCCTGATCCCTAAGCCTGACTTGAACCCAACAGCACCTTAAACCCTCTAACCTTCAACCCTACAGAGCGACAAACCCTTTACCCTACAGCCCTGACGAAGCCGTTATAAAGCCCCCACAAAACTCTTATCAACACCTTTGTAAAGCACAGAAAGAGCATAAGCAGCCTGAGTCGACGGGACCTACACACTGAACCATCAAACAGCACCCCCAAACCCCGAAAACAAGAACCTTGAACCCAACATAACAACCTGAAAGGGACACAACAACGAACCCGAACACCTGAACCACCAACCCTACACCCTAAACTAAAAACCTCTATCCTATCAGCAAACACCCAGACAAAAACCAAAAATCAACATCCTAAAGCCTTGAACCCTAAATTCCTAGAGCCCCAAACACCCAGAGCCTCAACACCTAGACCGCAAAAGCCCAAGCCTATATGGGTAGTTCTCTAAATTCGGGTTCCTTCTAGGGTCGCTTTAATAAGGGTGCTGTAACTATCTTAGTGATCAAACAAGAGACATTAATATACAGCAGTAGTCATACAACCATAAGATAGGCGCTTCCGCACAATCTTCAAAAGCCTAAACATTACACCCAAAACCCTAAAAGGGAGCTTGATTTGGAGAGCTACCTATATAGAACCCTTACGGCACCCTTATAGAAACCCTCATAGAAACCCCTTTCAGGGGACCCTAAAAGGGATCCTATTTTAGAGAGCTACCCATCTGACCCTAAGCCCTAAACCCCAAACCCTAAACCCCAAACCCCAAACCCGAAACCCCAAACCCGAAACCCGAAACCCCAAACCCTAAACCCCAAACCCCATGTCCACTTAAAGCAAAACTTCAAGCCCCAGCTAAACCCTAAACCCTAAAAGGATCTGGGGCTGGAGGTAATTGGTTTCGACCTCGTCCGGCCCCCGGGGCTGGGCTGCAGGGCCTTTAGACAGAGAGCTCAATACCGTTTAACTAAGGAATAGAC